CAGCCTCCTGAGTAGCTGGGACTATAGACATGTGCCACCATTCCCAGCTAATTTTATATACATCTATATTTTGTTGTCCAGATAATTTCTTTCTATTTTTTTAGTAGAGATGGGGTCTTGCTCTTGCTCAGGCTGGTCTCGAACTCCTGACCTTGAGCAATCCTCTCACCTTGGCCTCCCAGAGTGCCAGGATTACAGGTATGAGCCACCACGCTCGGCCCTTTTTTTTTTTTTTTTTTTAAATAGAGACAGGGTCTTGCTTTGTCATCCAGGCTGGAAAATGCAATGGCATGATCATAGCTCATTGCAGCCTCAGACTCCCAGGTTCTAGTGATCTTTTTGTCTCAGCCTTCTGGGTAGCTGGGATACAGGTGTGTGCCACTGTGCCCAGCTCAGTTAGATGAGTAGAACTTCTATAAATGTTATTGTACAAGTGTTATTCTATGGACAGATATTTTCATTTCTCTTGGGTAAATGTCTAGGCTTGGAATTTTTGAGTTGTAAGGTAGATGTATGTTTAGTTGTAAAAGAAACTGTTGGATCTTTTTCCATAATGGTTTTACCATTTTACTTTCCCTCCAACAATGTATGAGAGGCCCAGTAGCCCCGTGTTATCCTAACGCTTGGCACGGTCAGTCTTTTTAATTTTAGTCATTGTGGTGAATATGTGGGCCATGTGACTTTTAAAATACCCTTTCTGTACTTGACTTTATGTATGGACTTTCTTAACTCCCTGAATCCATCTTAATTCCTGGTTTCTGTAAACTTATTACTGGAAGCACTGGCTGTGAGGGACAATGGTCTTATTAGAATATAAGTGCTACAGAGATAGATGTTGGTGGACTTATTAGCACACAATAAGAACTTACTAATATGTGTTGGCTGATATGAATGAGTAAATGGTCAAGCATACCAAGACTTACTGAAACAAGAATGTAGGAAGACTGTATCTGTGAGCACATCTGTTTAATCTCCTTCTGACTCTTCCCTGTCATGCTGCCAGCTGTCCTTCATCTCCCTTCTCGTCCATTGAATGCTTTGCTCTGGTGTGTTTTGTTATATCCCAAGGCATCCTTCCAGGCATTAAAATACAAGATTATTTCTTTCTCTCTCTCTCTCTCTCTCTCTCTCTCTCTCTCTCTGTCTCCCACCAGTGTCTGAACTCAAGGGACATTGAATAAATATCTTCATCTATCTAGGTCTCATCTTCTTCATCTGTAAAATTAAGGTGGTGGATTACTTACATTTTTCTGGCACTATGTTATAGTAATTCCGACTCCTTCCTTATTCTGACTGAAGTCAATGATTGCATGACAGCTTTGCTTGCTTCTCTTCTCTTTCTTTGAGGGAAATATGCATCAGGCATTGGGTCCACGGTTTTGTTAGTTTTGTGTACATTGAGAAATTTATGTCAGAAAATAAATAAGGTTGGGATGCATGCGGACAAAAGCACATTAGGGCTTTTTTCAAGTGACACATAAGCTTAATTTCTTATTTGTGTTCTCCATTTGAGCTAAACATTTGCCTTCTTTGTCAAATGTTACAGTCTAAAGAAGGATACCTTTCATTCAATATAAATAAAAATGCCTTCTTGCCTTCCACTGAAATGAATAGAAGTTGTTGTTTTGATGCAAATTAATAGAATTATAATAAACTTGACTCATTTTGAGTGTTCACAATGCTCCACTTATGCCCAGCAATCTGCTGCCTAATTCTAACTAGGGCAAAGTTTACAAATCCAATGGCCTCGTGAATAACCTTCAGTTCACAGGTCATCAGAACCATCACAGGGTTAAGTTAAAAAAAGATGTTTTATGTAATTATTGCAAAAACTAGGCTTATAAGGTCAAAGGGTAATATAGAAGGAGAAGTTGATGTTTAAAAACTGTTAGGAAAATGTAAGGATATTAGTAAATGCCATATGCAAATTGTCTAAAAAATATAAGTAAAAAGGTTGCTTTTGAAAGCATTTTCTTTGCAAGAATGGCAACCTGTGTCCATGACAGTTGGTAACAGGATTATTGGAGCTTTGGTTTTGAGTGAGAATGCTCCTGTCCAAATGAGCAGAGCAGAGCTGATGGGGTAACGTTTATCTTTACAATCAGAGGATGTAGATTGTAGGATAACAATGCTGTGAAATATGTTGAAACTTGCTTTTTGGCCTAGAAAATGATCATTTTGACTAATATTTCTGTGAGTGATTAAGAAGAATGGGCAGTTTCTAATTCCTGGGTACAAGATTCTATTTGTATCCATTAAATCAAGGTTGTTGATTGGGGTCTCAAATCTTTTATATGTTAACTGTTTTTGACTGCTTGACCTATCAATAATTGTGTTGATTTCTCACAGTTTGATGGTGCATGGGCCAAGTTTTCCTTCTATTAATTTTTGCTTTATGATTTCCTTTGAATAATTCTAAGCATTCTATTAGGTGTACACATATTTAGAATCAGAATATCTTGATGGAATTAAATACAATTTATGAAAGCCCATTGGTTTGGACTGAACTCCTGTACTAGGCCAAACAGCCCAGACCAAAATGGAGCTACCCATGCTGAACTTCTATGTTACCAAGCTGAAACTCAGTTGTTAATCTGCCATTCCAAGAAATCAGAAGTCAGATAACAACCAAATCCCTAAAGAGGCCAGTGCAGCTGGCATGGTTAGGAAGTCCCCTCTGCTTTCAGCTTTACAAGGTGTAAGTTTGAAATGACCAATCTGCTTTTTCTCTGTTTTGGCTTCCTTCAGCCCTTTTCTGCCTGTAAAGCTAACCTCCTCTGTGCAGCTGACCTGAACACTAATTCTACTTTATGGAATGAGGTGTTGCCTGATTCCTGAATCACAAATAAGAGCCAATTAGGATCTTTAAACTAAATTGGTTGTAATTTTGTCTTTTGACAATGGTGAGTCAAAACTTTTACCATTGCGTAGTGATCTTCTTTTTCCCTAAAATGTTTTTTTTGTTTTAAAGCTTATTTTGACTAATATTAATTGACAATCGTTACCAGCAGGTGAATTTATTCCATATTAATTTACTGTGCATATTGATATATTTTAAATTGTTCTTGCCACCTTACTTTGTGCTTTTTACATCCTGCCTTTCCTATATTTCTCCCTACTACTGCCTTTCTTTATTTTTGTCTTTATTTTTGATTGTTGGCTTTCTTTTTTAATTTTCTTATTTTTTTCTTCTACTGATTAAGAAGTTATCCCTCTATTTCTGTTCCTTAGTGGTCACTGCCCTCTTATTCAATACTCTACTCCAGCTTCAGTACACAAGCTTGGTTTCAGCGTTTGGAGATGTTTCTTATGTTTTAGAGATTTCAGCAATCATTGAAAACTGTTATAATTGTATTCACCTAGAAATTTATTTATAATAACCAATTACAGCAAGTAACTTAACAACAAAAATTAAAACAGGTAATTTATCTCGTATTTTAGAGGGCGTACTTCAGGTAGTTGGAATCAGAAATCTAAAACACTGGCACATTTTACTTTAAGTTTCTTATGAGTTGAAGTTACGATTTCTTTCTTCTTGTTATAATACATTATAGTTATTCCTTCCTTTTTTCTATACTCCCTCTCTCTCTTCTTTCCTGCCTTCTTCACATACCTAACATATATTGTCTATTATATTCTTAACACTGTACGAGGCACTGGGAACAAGATCTGCTTCCTAGAAATTCTGCCAAGAGGCATCTTGGTGTAAAGAGAGAAATAGCTCCATTTTTTCTGGAAGGCATTCTGATGCGACCTTATTTTTTTTGCTAATTTGACAAAAACAGTTACCAGACACAGGTACCTAATGGTGTTGGGTTACATGCTCACTTTCAGACCATATTTAATATAGTTGGTATCTTACTCAAATTTTTGAACAAATTAGTTATTTATATCAAAGTAAATTCCTACTTAAATTAATTTACATTCTAAAGAGAATTAGTAAGTAATTTTGATTATAAACTTGTAGGTTTGGTTATAAATTTTCTGGAAATTAATTGATTTCCTGTGTGTGTATGTGTCTGTGTGCGTGTATGTGTGTGTGTGTGTGTGTGTGTGTGTGTGTGTATGTTTCCCAATCCGTGGACCTTCTGGCTTTAAATTCTTTAAAACCAGTTTTGGTTAAAACTTCAAAAAATGTTGTTATAATCCCTTAAACACATCCAGCTCACTAGGTAGTGTGTCATTTTGAAAGTTATTTTCACTCTCTTTGCTCTATCCTATAATTGCTCTCCATTCCAAGGCTGCAGTGAGTTTCCCTTCAAAGCAATGCTGGGGCCTGTTTTCCCCAGTAAGGACATTGCCTTATTATATGTTCAATGTCAGGTCATTGGAGCAGAAAGTTAGTGGAGTCTACCTCATGCCAAGTCCTTGTATCTACCAAAAGGAAATTTCACTATTAAATAACCGAGTTGCCATTACTGAGTCATGATTCTACTGCTCTAAATTTTTCAAATGATCTCTTTTATTCCTGGGACACTTGCATACCTAATTGTCAAGTTTAATTTATGATCCTCGTTACTCTCTAAGCGTTTAATTGAGTTAGTGGTTATAGCTGACTCATAAACCCATAAAACCTTTCAGTAGTAAACTAATTAGCCAATGCACCTGCCCTCTAAATGATTAACATTGTTCATTACTAACAATCAGCATCGGAGTTATTAAAAGTTACCTTACTGCTCAGTTTTCTAAAGTAGAAGCTTTCAAACTTTTTTGATCATGATCCAGTATAGGAAATGCATTTCACAAACCAACCCAGGATACATGCCCCCACACACATACCCACACTCCTACTACCTATCAGACAGACTCTGATATTTTCTATTCTCTTAATATTTTCCTCTACTCTTTCAATTAAAACATACTGACCTACTAAAGAGGTTGTACAGCCCATGAATGGGTTATGCCCTACAGTTTCAAAAACACTGGCTTAAGAAAATTCATACGCTGAAACAGAAAGTTAAGAAGCATCAATAAAAGTTTCTTTCAAAATTAAAACTTACTTGTTTCCTTCACCATCATACACCCATCTAGTAGTGCCAATTCCTTCATAGTTTGAAGCCCAGTAATAAATACAGGCATTAATGTGCAGAATAAACAGCAAGTATCCAGTTGTTCGAATGACCCTATCAGAAAGAATGGATGCAAAATAAGAGTTCATGTTGTTTCTGGAATACAGCCTATTTTAACATTTTCTTTTCCTTAAAGTCTCTGTTGAGCTCCCTTGCTTTGGATTTGTGAACTGTTAACTCTCATTAGTGTGGCATAAAGTGACGGTGCCATTGCATGTTTTCTGACTGCAGTGTCTTGACTGGGACTGACAGAGTGTAAAAAAAAAAAAACTTCCTTTCTTTTCACAGCTGGTATGAGTCAACTCCGTGAAAGACATGCCTCAAGGGTCACCTCTCCATTTGAGTCCCATAAAACATGCCATGCTGATTTAACTGGATATCTCTGAAAAGCTCGTGGGACTTTATGCTGTAATGAACTGCAACTAGAGGTCTCTGGCAAGAGAAGTTCAGATCAGCAAATGAATGAAATTCAGATTAGGAATGGATTGTCACGAGAGAGAAAGTCAACTTTTGAAAGAGCATGTTTTTCTGTACTTATTTTGACTGAAGCAGGTAATAATTCCTATTTTTTAGTGCAATACTTTTCTAAAATCTGTCATGATTTTCATATTTTTATTTCACTTAAAATATCCAAATCTGTTGTAGAACATATTCCTATATTTTATATTGCCAAAATCTGATATTATTTCCTTTTCTTTAACAGGAAAGTCCCATTCCTGCTAAATGCTGTCTAAAATGTTGTACTATTGCCTTTTCCCCTCCACCCAAGGATTGTGAGTTATTCTTTACCTGTAGATGTACGCTTTGTCCATTATAGACTCTAGGTGATGATTAAACTCAAAAAATGAAGTGTACTACGTAGAAAACAAGCAAAAGAAAGCGAAAAGTATGTCAGTCTTAGATACATCTATTTAAATAAAGCTATATGAAATAGATTTTATTTGTCAGTCAAAATAATTTTATTCATATGTCTTCTTAAAAAACTAGATCTTGTTTAATGATATTTTCCTCTGGGAAGTACATTTTATAGCATGGTGCCTAGTTTCCAGAGATTTTTGCTTTATTTTATTTCTACCTGGTTAGTAATAGTTTATTTGTAATGCTTATTGAAAATCAAGTTTAAAAAACATTTCTTTCCTTTTCCTTTTAAAGCATATACTAAAACTCTATTTCACAACAATTGAAATCACACTCCCCTCAAAACATAAATAAAAGTCTAATATAAATCCATTGAAGTCATAGATAGGTGTTAAGTCCTGTTGCTCAGCACTAGCATTATTTTTAAGCAAATTGCATTAAAAGTGCATTTGTTTCAAAAAAATTTAAAGCCCAGTAAATATTAGCATTGGCTAGATGTTCTTGACATTATTCAAAGATACAATGAGTTTATATACATATAATCCAAACATTGCTATTTCCCTCAAGGTTTTTTCCTGCTTCTACTTTTATCTCAACTCCTACTGCTTACATGCATTTTTCCTCTTTTCTTTCTTTCTTTTTCTTTTTTTCTTTTTGAGACTGAGTTTCACTTTGTTGCTCAGGATAGAGTGAGTGCCATGGCATCAGCCTAGCTCACAGCAACCTCAAACTCCTGGGCTCAAGCAATCCTACTGCCTCAGCCTCCCGAGTAGCTGGGACTACAGGCATGCGCCACCATGCCTGGCTAATTCGTTCTATATATATAAGTTGGCCAATTAATTTCTTTCTATTTATAGTAGAGACGGGTCTTGCTCTTGCTTAGGCTGGTTTCAAACGCCTGACCTCGAGCAATCCGCCCACCTCGGCCTCTCAGATTGCTAAGATTACAGGAGTGAGCCACCGCGCCATGCCCCTCTTTTATTTCTATAGGCAGTGAGAGCATGAAATCCAAAGCCAAAAGCCAGCCTTATTTCTGCTACTTTCTAACTATGTAACTCTTACTATTTCTGTACCTTGGTTTTCCCATCTGTAAAATGGGGGCAATAAGAGAACATACCCCTAAAAGTGTGCATACATGAGTTAATATACTTAATATGCTTAGTAGAATCATAGGATCTTACAGATGGCAGGGACCTTCAAAATTTCACCTAATGTAGATATGACTGCAGTAGAATACATATACTATAAAATAGTATATGTAATAGTTATGTAATATGACTACTTAACTAGAAAAATATGCAATTTGTTTTTTTCCAGAATTTCTGATTTTAAATTTAGCTTAAATGTTCACCGTAGAGAAAATTTATATTCTTAATTTGTTTTCTTGCTTATAACTTGGAGATATAGATGATAAATATTTATGCTAGAGAATTGTGCATTGAAACGATACCCTTATAAATAAGTGAAATGAATTGACTATGGGGCTATGAAAAGAATATCACTGTTGACTCTCAGGATCTCCTATATTTTAAGAAAACTACTGGATATAGAGGGCTTTTGGGCATCTTAGGGATACAGAGATGAGGTATGAAGAGTGGCATTTTATAAACTTCTAGTATAATGCCAGAAAAACTCCCAAGTTTGTAGGAATCTGAGTCTTTCTGAAAACTGTTTATTTCTGAAACTTCCACAAAACACTAGAAATTTGATGAGAGGCAGCCTGACCACTAGGTTGCTTGGAGCATTGAGCCTCTATTTATAGTCACATTATGTGGTCAAACCAGAAGTCTCTAGAGTTGTCTTGGATGCATGGAAATACAGGGAAAGAGAATACTTATTGAAAAATCAGGGCATAGAAGGAAAGCCATTTCAGCTTCAGGCTTAGCTGCCAACCTAATTATAATAAAGAATTTGGAGTCAAATAACTATGTGATAGAGCTGAGATGCTGCCACTCATTGGCAGTGTGTCTGGACAGATTTTTTTACTACGTGAATTCTCCTTTTTTTCATCTCTAAAATGAAGTTGTTGGGATGAATAAGTGAGATAATGAATATAAAGTTTGAGCAATGTGTTGTTGTTGTCAGGATCCACCAGTGTTGCCAATTTATGTTAGCTTGTCTTCCCAAGATGCAAAAGAGATAATCACCTAAAATTTGTGAAATCTTGTATGATCCTTTTAAGAAGTTTATTTTTGGAAATAAAGAGAAAAAATTACCATTGTTGAAAATTTATGTAAAATTTCAAATTCTGATTGTCCTTAAAATTTTTTTAGGTACCCAATGAAGCTATGACTTACAACATATTTATGTCTTACAATCTTTTAAAATAGGTAGTACATCCACATAGTTCCAAACAATATGAAATATATACCTTTAAAAGTCATGCTCTGAATCTTGCCCTCATCTATCCTGATTTTCCTTCATCCTTCTCCTTTCCACCTCCAGTAATCACTTTTATTAGTTTTTTTGTTGCCTTTAGTATTTATGTAAATATAGAAAAATGGAATATTTTTCCTTTTTGTTATACAAGAGTTAGCATTGTTGTACCAACCATTCTGTAACTAGCTTTTTCTCTCAGCAATTTATCTTGGAGTTATTTCTATATCAGCACATAGAAAACTTGCTCTTTATTCTTTTAAAACTACAAACATTCTGTTTATATAGCTGTATCTTCATATATTTAACTAGTTCCTCCTTGATAAATGTTTGAGTTGTGTTTAAGTATGTAAGTGATTTTGTGATGTAAAAGTATGATTGTATTTTTTTAGAATCATAGTATTTTAGATGAGTAAGATAATTTGGGTAATCTAAATGGGTAATCTAATCTAAGACTTTAATTTTACAGCCCAGATGCCAGGCATTCACTAACTGATCAAAAAGGACAAATAGGAAAAAAATTAAAATTATAAAAGATCCATTTGTAATTAGAGTTGAATTTTGAAGTACAAAAGTATTCCTATTTATGTCATAAAAATACATGTTATGAGATAGAGAATAAAAATAACCAGGAACAACTACCATCAGGCATTTATCCTTCATTCATTTAAGAAAATTCACAGCATTGATGAGAACAGAGAGATGGAAGACTATTTGGGAAAAATTAAGAACACTGGTAATTTTAGTATATTTAAAATTATTTCAAGATTGCTTCCATTATCATAAGGAGAAGGCAATTAAATATAGTATCTTACCTTTAATATCCTATTTGTTCTAAATATTGGATTAAACCCAAAGAAGAAGTAAAAAACATCAAATGGTATAACTGATGCGATATCCAACTGTTGGAAGAACACATTCACAATTATATTGTGTTTGCATGCTTTCAGGGGCATGGATATATTTATACTGGTGCAAGTAAAAGTTGACTAGTCACAATGCATTACTTGTTGTTTAATCCAAAGTTGCCTTCAGTTAAATATATGGTACCATTGAAAGGCATATTAGCACCTTGAAAACAAGAACACTATTTTCTAGCCTACTTCCAGTGTATTTCATTTCCACCTCCATGCATCTGATCTCTCCTTAGGCACTGCATTTGCTGGGATTTTTATTGAGCTGCCACATATACTTCAGTTATGGCATGGTTGCTAATGTTAAAATACATTTTAATAGTGTATTAAACATGGGGCCTCTTGGGTCAAAAATCAAGTCCATTCTTGATTTTATTTGAAACCATTGCACTTTCATTGCAGTGATATATTTTTATGTTTCAGCCAATTCTCCAGTGTTCAGAGCTGATTACATTGTTGTTCATCCATGTTCTTCAATGCTTTCTACTCCTGTCTACTTTGAACCATTTTGCTACCAATAAACTTCTGTGAAAGTATTGACCAGAGACTGTGCAGGCTAAGAGAGAAAAGGAAAGAAATCAGTCCTGTTTACAAATAATCAGCAGCTCTGATAGGAGAAGGTATTAAAAGTACTATTATATCTAAAAAAATTTTAAAAATATTTGCCATGTATTAAAATTATCTTCACCTTCTATTACCCTGGTAATTATGAAATGACAACACAACACTTGCATACTTTCTTGATTACAATAACAATAATCAATTCTTTTATGCAAAATAATTATTCGTTTTCATGGTCTTAAAAAAGAGTGTATTAAGAAATTTAAGATGTCTTAAGACAGTTAAGAACAATTAAGTACATATTGTAAGGCCACACATAAAAAATAGAGTTGAGGTAATTAATTGTGTAACAGAATTTCAAAGCCTATTGTTATTGAATGGGAATTGAACTTCTAGTTTGAATTATCCAGATTAGCTGTTATAAACAAATTACTTACTAAAAGTATTGGTTTAGAAATTGCATCATATCATCAAACCTCATTGATTTTATCCTACGGATATTGATCCTTGTAACATTGAGAGACATACGGAACAGTTACTAAAATAATATCTCTCAAGAAAGAAAGCAGGAGCACAGAGCTGTTGACTTGTCCAGTGCTACCCCAGAAACCACTGGGCATGGATGTACTTGGTTATTCCCCTACTGGATTTTGTTAACCTACCATGAATGGAGCTTGTAGGCTCCATTGTAGGCTCCAAAATGATCTTTTTACTCCATTCAATTGTTCAACTCCCTGCTCAACTTCTCTATGTAGATGGTTGTTAGCCATTTTAATATCAACACATTGGCATGGATTTGTGTAAACAGAGATAATCTATTTCTCATTGAATTGTAGAAAATTGAATTGAGGAAGTATTCACCAACACTAAACTCTGTGCAAGGCACATTGCAAAGCATCTTGGGGTTGAAATAGGAGTAAGATACTGTTTCTGTCCGCAAGAAGTCAACAATCTAATAGTAGAATAACCAATTACAAAAATATAGTCATATGTCGCTTAATGATGGGGATACGTTTTGAAAAATGCATCATTAGGTGATTTCGTTATGTGAACATCATAGAGTATACTTACGTGAACCTACATGGTATAGCCTACTACACACCCAGACTATATGGTATGGCCTATTGGTCCTATACTCCAAACCTGTGCAACTGTGCTTTACTGAATATTGTAGGCAATTGTAACATGGTAAGTATAATATTTGTGTATCTAAGCATAGAAAAGGTACAGTAAAATATGATGCAGAAGATAAAAAAATGGTACATCTGTATAGGGCACTTAACAACGAATGGAGCTTGAAGGCCTGGAAGTTGCTCTGGGTGAGTCAGTGAGTGGTGAGTGAGTATAAAGGCCAGGTGTTACTGTACACTACTATAGACCTTGTGAACCTATACCTAGGCTATACTAGACTTATCAGAAATTTTCTTTCTTTAATAATTAATTAACCTTAGGCTACTATAACTATTTTATTGAATAAACTTTGTAATTTTTAAAAGCTTTTTGACTCTTTTAATAACACTTAGCTTAAAACACAAATGCATTGTACAACTGTACAAAAATGTTTTCTTTCTTTATGCTTTTATTCTATGAACTTTTTTCTGTTTTTAAAAATTTTTTATTTTTATTTTATAAACATTTTTGTTAAAAGCTAAGACACAAATATACACATTAGCCTAGGCCTACACAGGATTGGGATCATCAATATCACTGACTTCTACATCCACATCTTGTCCCACTGGAAGGTCTTTAGGGGCAATAACATGCATAGAACTCTCAACTCCTGTGTTAACAATGACTTTTTCTGGAATACCTCCTGAAGGACCTGCCTGAGGGCGTTTTACAGTTAACTTTTTTTTTAATAAGTAGAAGGACTACGCTCTAAAATAATGACTAACAGTATAGTCAGTACATAAATCAATAACATAGTCATTATTATCATTATCTAGCATTATGCACTGTACATAACTGTGCTATATTTTTATACAACTGACAGCACAATAGATTTGTTTATATCAGCATCCTCACAAACATATGAGTAATACATTGTGCAATGATGTTATGATTAGGCTACGAAGTAACTAGGTGAGAGAAATTTTTGAGCTCCATTATAATCTTTTTTAAAATTTCAAAGTATTAAGGGGGTACAAATGTTTTTGTTATATGGATACCTTGTATAATGCTTAAGTCAGAGGTTTTGGTGTGTCCGTCACCAGAATAGTGTCCATTGTACACAATAGGTAAGTTTTTATCCCTCAACCCCCACTTACTGGTTTCCAATGTCCTTTACATCTCTTTTAGCTCTTGTGTACCTATCGTTTAGCTCCCACTTATTAATGAGAATGTATAGTGTTTGGTTTTCCATTGCTGAGATACTTCACTTAGGATAATGGTCTCCAGTTCCACTCAAGTTGCTGCAAATGGCATTATTTCATCCCTTTTATGACTGAATAGTACTCCATGTTATTTAAATACACCACATTTTCTTTATCCACTCATGACTTGATGGACACTTAGGTTGATTCCACATCTTTGCAACTGTGAATTGTGCTGTGATAAACATTCAACTGCAGATGCCTTTTAGACAAAATCATTTCTTTTCCTTTGGGTAGATACACAGCAGTGGGATTGCTGCATTGAATGGTAGGTCTACATTTATTTCTTTGAGGAATCACAATACTGTTTTCCATAGAGGCTGGACTAATTTGCAGTCCCATCAACAGTTTATAAGCGTTCCTTTCTCTCTGCATCCACACTAGCATCTATATATATATATATTTTTTGACTTTTTAATAATAGCCGTTCTGATAGGGGTAAGGTGGTATCTCATTATAGTTTTAATTCTCATTTCCCTGATGATTAGTGATATTGGGCATTTTTTGATATGTTGTTGGCTATTTGACTATCATCTGTTGAAAAACTTCTGTTCATGTCTTTTGCCCACTTTTTGATGGGGTTGTTTGTTTTTTCTTACTCATTTGTTTGAGTTCTTTGTAGATTCTGGATACTGCTCCTTTGTCAGATGTCTAGTTTGCAAATATTTTTCCTATTCCATAGGCTGTGTATTCACTCTGTTGATAATTTCGTTGCTCTTAGCGCTTTAATTACTAAGCATCTTATTATGTTGTTGCTGTATTGCCTTTGGGGTCTTAGTTGGCTAGTACTTTGTTGAGGATTTTTGCATCTGTGTTCATAAAGGATATTGATGTGTAGTTGTCTTTTTTTGTATCCTTTTGTGACATGGTGCCAAAGTGACACTGGCTTTGTAGAATGAGTTTGGGAAGATTTCCTCCTTCTCTATGTTATGGAATAATTTTTGTAGGTTCCAGTTCTTTTTGTAGGTCTGGTAGAATTCAACTGTGAATCCATCTGGTCTGAGGCTTTTTTTGTTGGGAGACTTTTTATTAATGCTTTAATCTTGCTGCTCATTATTGATCTGTTCAGGATTTCTATTTCTTCCTGATTAAGGCTTGGGTGTTTGTGTTTTTCCTGGAATTTATCCATTTACTCCTAGTATTCTAGTTTGTTTTCATGCAGGTTTTTGTAATATTCATGGATGATATTTTGTATTTATGTGGTATCAGTTGTAGTGTTTATTTTTCATTTCTGATTGAGCTCATTTGAGTCCCTTTTTTCTTCTATTTCTGGTTAATCTGGCCTATAGTCTATCAATTTGTTTATCTTTTCAAAGAATCAACTTTTTGTTTTATTGCTTCCTTGTATTATTTTTGTGGCTTCCATTTCATTTAGTTCTGCTTGGAGCTTTGTTATTTCTTTTCTTCAGCTGGCTTTGTGTTTTTTGTGTTTTTTTTAGTTTCTTGAGTTGTGACGTTAGGTTGTTAATTTGTGATCTTTCTGTCTTTTTGATGTAACCATTTAAGGCTATGAACTTCCCCCTAAGAATTTCTTTTACTGTATCCCATAGATTTTGAAAGCTCTGCCCTTTTTGTCTTTCAGATAGATCAAGGAATATTTTGCTTTACATCTTAATTTCATGATTCACCCAAGGATCATTGAGCAGCAGATTGTCTAATTTCCATGACGTTTTATAGATTTGAGTGTGTTAATCTTGGAATTGATATGTAGGTTTATTCCATTGTGATCTGAGAAGATACATGGTATGATTTCAACTTTTTTGAATTTGCTGAGGCTTGTTTTGTCTTGTAAGATATGATAAATCTTTGAAAATGTTTCATGTGCTGATGAGAAGAATGTATATTTAGTAGTTTTGTATAGAATATTCTAAAAGTGTCTGTTAGGTCGATTTATTCTAGAGTCCCATGTAAGGTCAGTCTTTCTTTATTCATTTTCTGCTTTGATGATCTATCTGTCCAGTTCTGTCAGTGGGGTGTTGCAATATCCAGAAATTAAGATGCTACTGTTTATTTTTTGCTTATATCGAATAGAATTTATGAATCTGGGAGGTCCAGGGTTAGGTGCATATATATTTAGGATTGTTATGCCTTCTTGTTGAATTTCTCCCTTTATCATTAAAAAATGACCATTTTTGTCTTTTTTTTAACCATTGTAGATTTAACATCTATTTGATCTGAGAATGGCTACAACTACTTACTGTTTGTTTCTATTTGCATGGAATATTTTTTTTCCATTCCTTTACTTTGAGTCTTGTGTGAGTCCTTGTGGTTTAGATGTGTTTCTTGGTGACAGAAAACACTTTGGTTGTATTTTTTCATCCATTCAACCCATCTATGTCTTTTAAATGGGGCATTCAGACCATTCACATTGAGTATTAATAATGATATATGGAATGCTATTCTGTTAATCATGTTGCACGATACATTATTATTTTGCTTTCCTTGTCTTGCTATTGTTTTATAAGAGTTGTGAGCTTTAACTTTTGGGTGTTTTTACACTGGTTGGTATCCATTGTGCTGTTTCATGTATAATGTACTTTTGAGCATTCCCTGTAGGACACGTCTATTAGTGACAAATTCCCTTAATGTTCAGTTGTCTTGAAAAATCTTTATCCTTCATTCATGAAACTTAATTTTTCAGGATACAAAATTTTTGGTTGGCATTTGTTCTATTTAAGAAAACTAAAAATGGGGCCTCAATCTCATCTAGCTTGTACTGTCCCCACTGAGAAGTCTGGTGTTAGCCTGATGGGTTTTCCTTTGTAGGTTAGTTGTTGCTTTCATCATGTAGCTTGTAGAATTTTCTCCCTCATTTTGACTTTGTCCAGGTTGATAACTATATGTCTTGGAGATGCCCTATTTGCTATGCCTCTTCCTGGAGTTCTATGACCATCTTGTGTTTGGATATCTGAACCTCTGGTAATACCAGGGAACCTCTCCTTAATAATTCCCTTGAAATGGTTTTCTATATTTTTGCTTTATCTTCTTCTCCCTCCAGGATATCTATAATTTGAATATGGCTCATTTTACATAGTCTCATATTTCTCAGAGTGATTGTTCATTCTTCTTTATTCCTTTCTCTGCATGTTTAACCAACTGGGTTAGTTCAAAACTCTTGTCTTCAAGCTCTGAGAATTGTCTGTTTGGTCTAGCCTGTTGTCAAAGCTTTCTGCTATATTTTGTGATTCCCTAAATGACTCTTTTATCTCTTTATGTTCAGTTATATCCTTTCTCATGTTGTCTAGCTCTTTAGTGACTTTTTCATATATGTCCTGAAATATTTTTTTATTTCTTTGTGTTGATTTTCAACTTTCTCTCAATCTTGTTCTTCTTATTTGCCATCCATATTCTGAATTCCACTTCTGCCATTTTTAGAATTTCCATTTGGTTGGGGTCTGTTGTTGTAGATCAATTGTGATCCTTTGGGTGTATTGAACTAGCTTGTTTTTCCATGTAGCCAGTGTTCTTTTGCTGTTTTCTTCTCATCTGAAAACTCTTCTCTCAGCTCTGGGCTGGTAGGTTTGTGGTGTACCTGTTCTTTGCTGGAAACTCTTCTACTTAGTGAAAAGGAGGACAGGTCCCTAGATATGCTTTTGTCTCCTACTCTGGAGGACTGACCCAGCAGGAGAGGAGTGGATGCACTAAGAGCCTGAGTGGATACAGCTGTTCTCCTGCATCATTCTATTCCCTTGGGGTTGTCACAGTCCAAGCCAGTGCTAGGGAATATTTTTCCAACAGAGCCACTGTTGGAAGCTCTTACCAGAGGCTGGGCAAATCCCTCTCCATGGAGGTAGGTGGCATGACCTTGGCTGGTGCCTGGGGCAGGTTGCAGGACCTTGGTGGGCAGCTAAATGCATCACAGGACTGCAGCCAGCAGTGTGGCAAATTGTAGGACCTTGGTGTGTGCCTGGGCATGTCAAAAGTCCTTGACTAGTTCATAAGCAGGCTATAGGACCTTGGCAGGTGCTTGCACATTTCATGGGAACTTGGTGGGCCCCTGGGCATGCCACAGGACTGAAGCTGGCAGCAGATCAGGTTGTGGGATCTTGGCAAGTACCTGAGCACATCGTGGGATCTGGCAGGTGCCTGAAAACACTGCAGTACCTTGGCAGGCACCTTGACAGGTCATGGGACCACAGCTGGTGGTGGGGTGGGTTGTGGAATCTTCAGGGGTACCTATGTGGGTCTGGGACCTTGGTGGTTGTCTGGACAATTCAGGGGTTCTTGGCCAGTGCCTGAGCAGGTCATGGAATCATGGCTAACACTGGGGTAGTTTCTTGAGCCATAGTGGCTAGGCCACCTGCAGCTGGCAGGACTGAGGAGGTGTGTGGCATCCTGCCTGGGAGTTGCAGTGGCTGGGGCTCTCCCTTCACCCATGTCTGACTATGGCGGCTGCTGCCATGCTCTTCAGGTGACAGTGGTGGCACTATTGAGATGGCAAGATGATAGCAGCTGGCAAATGCTGAGGACCAGTAGGCACCTGCTTTGTTCAGATCCCTGAAAGGCAGACAGTAGGGGTGCTGGAGAAATATATGGCACCCAGTCACAATGCATGTGAGAGCACCTTCCATCTTCATTCCCTCTCTGTCCTGGAAGGGATAATGAGGTCGTGGCTGAAGTAGAGCCCATCCCTCTGCAAACTGGACACTCTGAGGCTGATAATGCAGAGTGGTGTCTGTTGCAGTGACCTGAGACCAGAAGCTGTAGGGACCCCACTGTGCCCACTCTCTGGTGCAGTCCTGCTGCACAGTTTCCAAGCAGCTCTCTGGTCAGTTTGGAGACCTGCTGTCATGGGGGAGCCCCCTTGCAGCTCAGGTTGCATGTCCACTGGGGGAGTGTGGAGCCCCTGGGATCTCTCCTTTAACTCTTCTCCATATGTGGACACTTCCTCCAAGTACCTTCCAATCTTGCTGAGCAGATCACTCCAACTCTCTCTCCCTCACTTTGGGTGTCTTCAGTGTCTTCTCTGATGATTCATAATGCTTTTTCCAAGACAGTCGATTTGTGGATGAACCTCTATAGCAACCCTTGATCCTGCCCTTGAGAGGGGCGAGTGCAGGCTTCCAGTCCACCATCTTGATCCCCCCCATTATGATCTACAGGACAACTACTGTATATATGGTCCATTGTTGACCGAAATGTCATTGTGTGTCACATGACTGTAACTACAATGCAATGCCATAGACAGGCAGAATGTGCTGAAGGAATTCAAAAGGAGGAGCAATCACAATTAAATATGTGAATTAATTTAGCCCTTATTCAAACTCAAAAAATTAATTAAGAGTTTGAAATAAGCTGTATAGCATTTACAAAGAATAGTCATCCTCTTGGTTAAATTCATCAAAGTAGTAGAAATCTTTTATGAATATGCCTAAGTATGTGGCAATGTTTTACAAAGAAAATTAGTTGGAGATAAAAACAAACTAAAAAGGATTTTAATCATTGTAAAACTCCAACAGAGATAGTTTGGGACCTAAATCAAGATTTTTATTCTTTTAAACAAAATTTGAGACCACTAGAGTGCTATCCTTGAAGTGGGAGACTGGAGTTGACTCAGACAGATTGGATAACCTTGGATAACCTCCAACCTCTGCCTATATCTCAGAGTCATATAAGAAAGTACTTTGAACAATTATTGGCAATAAAACATAAGATTATATTTTTCTTTGAGTAAGGGAAGATTCTATGATCTAAATAATTGCCTCTTTTCTATTTCTTATTTTGCTTATATGAACAAGAAAGAAATAGGAGTAGAAACAATTTTGCAGATGTTCACACCATTATGTTACATGATTTGGAGGCTAGAATTCTGTGAGCAAGACAAAGTACACCCCATACTCCTTTATTGATATTTAAATAAGAACTTAAATGTAGGCACTAACTTATTTTGGTCTGCTTAATAAAGACCCATATGTTGAATTACCCACTTGTATATACAAGGAAATGTATCATGTAATTATTGAGAGGCAGAAACTTCAGGCCTATCTTTGTCTAATAAAACTTCACCTGTATGAGTTTTGTTACAAAGGAAGATGATTTGTTTGGAGAAATCTGTAGATGGGACTTAAATTCAAAATGGTAAGAGATTACTTGAACAATTTTGAAAGTGTTTGTACATTACCTACCTGAAATTTTGTAGAACTCCTGTAGTGTCTCTTTAGCTCATTTGAATCCACCTGAAATATATTTATATTTCAGTTAATTTTAGACAATTTCATCAATTATTTTATCACTTTGTTAATAGATACAGCAATTTCTCTCTACAGGTTCCTTCCTACCTCAGCCTATATACATATGCTCCATCTTCTCACATTTTAAAACAAAAAAATTTCCTTGAATTTTGTTTTCTTTTTGTTATTGCCTTATTGTTTGTCTTAGTCAAGCTTCTCAAAAGAGTCACCCACATTGCTTTACTCGACATACTTCCCTCATATTTATCTTTAACCCATGACAATTTGATGGCAATTTGGTTTCTTCCTATTTCTCTCATTGCATCAAGGTTAACAGTGCAAAGACCACCAACAACCTCCTAACAATTACATCCAGGGGACCCTTTATCCTTTCATGGCAGTCACTATATTTTTAAATGACACATTCAAGGCTCTCCTTTCTCCATCCCACTCGCCTCCTGGAGCACCCCACACCTACTCTGGTCAGCAGTTCCTCAAATGCATCGGAGTTTCTCACCTTGATGCCTTTGCCCTTGCTGTTCCCCAGGCTCAAAACATGGTTTTCCTTTTTTTATGGGAGTGGAAGGGTACAGATAACTCTAACCCATCCATCAAGATTGGACCAGGTGTCCCCTCCTTCACATGTTTTTTTCTGAGCCTCATAGCTCAGAGCACCCTATAGCACATTTGTCATGACTCGCAACATACGATCCCACCATTTTTCTTTTGTCTCTCTGTCCTTCATACTCTGAGCTATGTAGGAGAGTAGGGTCCATATCTTTGTCCTCTATTTCTTCAGTTCCTAACGCAATGTCTAACACATAGTAGGTGCTCGATAAATGTGCAATAAGTGATAGATGAATAGGTGGCCTTTGTTAATATTCATATCTAAAAGAATTAATGCTAGTATTTGACTTACAGTCATATGTTTCAGATATATGTAGAAAGGGATTTTCTAAGAGCTCTTAGTTGATCAAAGTATTATAACTTGTACACAGGGAAGCAGCATCTTAGAACAATTGTCATCCAGGCTACCCAAGTTCAGACATTTTAAACTACTGCTGAGCAATGTTAAAAATTAGTCAATGCCCCATTTCCTGCTGTTCCCCCCCCCCCAACTTTTTTTGGCTATAATTTTTACTCATATACACAATTTAAGTTTTACAGAAATATATTAGAAAATGCCTGACTTGCTCATTTAGTGTTTTTAAATATGAACAAAATGGCTTACCAAGCCACAAGTAAACATAGATACTGGTTTAAGTTGATAGCCTTATAAATCATGCACCATGCTTGAGTAAAATCGGTCACCTCCTTCAAAGCTTATATGGGACAGACAGACACATTACAAATGTTGGGTACTAAAAATAAAATACCACCTCCTCCCCACATCCAGGAAGAAGGTTGTTAGCACATTTGTCTGTTTACTTTCAGGGTTGTCTATAATCCTACAATTGAATAAACGTAAATGCAACTAAAACTTGCTAGATTAAATGAAATGCCATCTAGTGATTTTAAAATCTCTCTTTTTCAGAGTACTAAATAAATTTGGCATCATTAGCCTTATGAGGATCAGCATGCTCACAGGTAACAATTAGGCACTTATTTTTAAAATGTCACCCTTTTTAATTCTCTCTCCTTCTTTTAAGCCTCATCATTATGCAGACGACATTTCTTTACGGCAGGCTTACTTTAGGAAGGATATGTTAATTGCACCGAAATCCTTTTCCAACAGACAGTTTTTGAAGAAGATCTACCCAGGTGTTAGTATATTTACTTATTAGCACTGCTCTTCTGATAAACAATTCATAGAACCTCTATGCTTTTACATTAAACAGAAGTATTTCAGAAATAATAATAATATCTGAGACAACTATAATACAAATTAAATAATTAGTCAAGGATAGAAAATTCTTGAACCACCGTTACTGTGCATTCACTCCTTCAAACATTTTTTGAGTATATTTTTGAGTTCCTAAGATAGATTAAAGAAATGAATTGAATAGTGTCTTTACTCTCTGGAAATTTATTTTCATGTAAAAGAGAGACGTCAGCATATGGACATCCACAGACCCTGAGCTAGATGTATACAGTGTCTTATCTAATCTTCTCAATAGATTTATGAGGTGGGTACTATTCCCGTTTTTCGGGTCAAAAAGATTTTATTCAATGAAAGGGCAAATTAATTTTCTTCAAGTTAATTCTATTAGCAAATTTCAGAAGTGGAATTTGACCCTGGTCTGTTTGTCTCTTCTACATCATAATTAGCCTAATCGATATTTAACAAAATTAATTAACAGAATTATGAATAAGGTACATGGAGCACAGAGAAGGGAGTAGTTAATTTTTTTTTTTTTTCAGATTAGTTTATAAACAGGAATTGAGAGGATTAAGTGTCAAGAGCAGGGACTATAAAGGAAGGCCTAATTGACTGTGCTACTAGATGGCCCTGAGCATTTCCCTGGGTTGTTGTGATTAGTAGGTTTGGCAAAGGGTTGTGTATGTCAGTGTCTCATACCTAAATCATTTCCACTGTCGTTTCCAGTTTGATTTCTGCTATCTATAAAAAAAATATAGAAGAGACTTTTTTCTTGGTCCTTGATTCAAAATTCTGTCCTCTGGGTAGAATCACTTTCAGAAGAAAGATAGAAATAAATGCTGGGGAAAACTTGTAAACCCTGCAGATTCCCTCTATTGTGGCTGTTAACACTTCGATCTGTTGTCTGTTACTTGTTTGTTTTCTCTCAAGGCCTTGGGGAATTCATATTTCCATCTTCCAGTCCTGGTATAGTATTTAATAAATAAAGTATGTAGGTATACCTACTTGGTAACTGTAGGTATTTAATAAATGTTTGTTGAATAAATGAATGATTGGACAAATTATTTGGCGGTGTACACCAATGGTAGCACGAATAACTAAATGTAGTAAGACCTTCAGGTTAGGTAATCAATGTACATAGTCTTCCTACCAAAATGTAATCAAGTTTCAAAGGCTAAAACTACCTATTTTAAATTAAAGAAACCATTAAACTTCTTCTGAACAAATAAAGCAATTATTTCCTGCTCTATATTTGTAGCTTGTGATAATGCATTTTAAATAGAGCCCATTGAATGTGTTTTTATTTGTTATTTTTCTTGGTTTTAACACTCCATTGTGTGCAAAGGCCCCTTAGAAAATTGAAAATGAAAGTCTCCCCTTACTGATTTTGTCATTTTCCATTTGTCAAACATTGATTTTCTCCCCCCTTGTGCATCTAATGGAGGTTGAAATTAGTGTTCTTTTTGTTGTTGTTGTTTACTTCTTCTTTGTACACCATCATCATCATTCATCAAGCTGCCAGAGAGCTCTGGGGAGAGTGCTGGCGAGTTAACTAATGCTCTGAAGTCCTCACAAGGAATATTTTGAATAGATTTTTGCTACAGCTTTGGCTCTTGCCTTTAGAATGTCTTTCTAGGAAAGATTTCAAACAGAGGAAATGGTCCCCAGAAAATAATATTTTTTTTAAGAGAAAAAAATAACCAAACTTACTCCTTTGAAAGGAGTTGAACTTTTGGATAATTTAAGATTTCTTGGAGATTCAAAAGAAAATATTCAGAAGGAATATTAAGGAACCTGTTTATCTTCTACAAAAATGTCTATGAACTTGAGGTGCCATATACACGGTCAGTGAGCTCCTCCTGTTGTGACATTGGAGGACATGTCCTGTGCAGCCCTCATTGGGACTCATGAGGGGGATGTCACGGTGGCAGCAGGTGGAATGGAAGCATCCTCCCAGTCAGCTGGGGAAGGGGTCAAGGGGTAGAGGTTATGAGACTTGGGTATGTGCTTGTAAAAACATATTTTTCTATTTCTTTCTCAGATTGATTGTATTGACTATGACATTCCCCCGACACCGAGAATAAATCCAGGAGAAGATAATTTCTCCCAAGGGTAAGAATGCTAGTTTTTGAGGTAGGGCAGTGCGTTTGATCTCAAGAAATGGGTTGCAATGAATTTGGAAGTAAAGCATGAAGAGAAGATAGGCCAATAGATATCATTAATCATCAAAAAGCAAAACAAAACCAAACAACTGTGGAGCTGTTCTACATGTTTGTGATTTGCACATGTCTGTGAGGTGTGTGGCTTCCTCCCTGTGGCTTGGCTCTCTTGATGGAGATATTGATAGCTCATTGCATTCTCATTCCTCTATGGCACTATCTGATGGTATATTTTGCGATGATGGAAGTCTTCTGTGTTGTCTAATGTGATAGCCACTAACCACATGTGGTTGTTAAGTGCTGGAAATATGGTTAGTGTGGCTGAGAAACCTGAATTTTTAATGTAATTTAATTATCATTAATTTAAATTTAAATTCGAATAGACATATATGTCTAGTGGCCACCATATTGGCAGGCGAGAATTCTACCACTGAACCACCAATGCTCCAGCTTGTGGCCACCATATTGTACAGTGCAGTGATTCTACACTGATTAAAAGAGTCATGACAGCTTTTTTTTTTTTTAAGTTCAGTTTTTTCAAAGTGCCCAGATCTGTCAACTTGGACTTGATTTCTGTACTATATGCAGCCACTGACTGTGCTTGGTGCTGACTATACAATTGATAAACTAGATACAGTCTGTTTCCTAAAATGTTACAACCTAATACTTTCTCACAACACTGGGCTATTTCCTAGGAGGGTTGAATAGTTCAGGGAAGGGGTCTAATGAATGAAATAATACCTGTCTTTTTTTTTTTCTTTTTCTGAGACAGAGTCTCACTCTCTTGCCTGGGCTAGAGTACTGTGGCGTCAGCCTAGCTCACAGCAACCTCAAACTCCTGGGCTCAAGCAATCCTCCTGCCTCAGCCTCCTGGGTAGCTGGGATTACAGGCACATGCCACTTGTGCCTGGCTAATTTTTTCTATTTTTAGTTGTTTGGCTAATTTCTTTCTATTTATAGTAGAGACAGGGCCTCGCTCTTGCTCAGGCTGCTCTCGAACACCCGAGCTCAAGCGGTTCTCCTGCCTTGGCCTCCCAGAGTGCTAGGATTACAGGTGTGGGACATTGCACCAGGACAATAATATGTGTCTTATTTAAAAAAACATTGACATGAATGGCAGACTGTAATATGATAGAAAACAATTGTATCACACAGAGTATTTGAGGCTTGATTACTGGAGGAATATATATTAAATTGTTTTTTTACTTTTGCATAGATAATTTATATATCTTTAAAAACATTATTTACGTAAAAGATGTGTATGGCTTCAACATTTCAGACTTGGCACTATCTTTGTATCCTTAAATATTGTCAAATTCTGAAAAACTCACCAACCTGAACCAGGATGGTTTTGAAGTCAAGACTTGGGTTTAAATCCTGGTTCTGCTACTTTCTAGCTTTATGCCATGAACAAATCATCTACCCTGTCCAAATCTCATTTTCCTTATTTATAAATGGGGCTAATAACATCTTTTTCATAATGTTATTGAAAGAATTAGGTGAAGTGTTATAAATAACTTAGCTAGAATCTTAACCATATCTAACATTTAATAGTCCCTCACTATGCGCCAACCACAGTTCTAGATACTTCACTGGCCTCAATTCATTTAATCTTCCTATCAACATTATGCGGGTACTGTTGTTATTCCCATTTTAAAGATGAGGAAGCTGAGGCACAGGGAGATGCATGTTCTCCAACACGTAGTGAACACTCAGTGATTGTTTTATTGCTATTTTTTTATTATAATTACTAATATTTTTCTATAATGATCCATAAAGAGATAGCCAAACATTAAATTAAAAAAAATAGCTAACTTATTTTTTCATAGACTGAGTAGCTATCGTTCATTTGAAAGTTTCTGCTTTTCCGAAACCCCACTTACTATTACATCTCCTCCTCTTACAAACTGGAGTCTGGGCTGGATAAAAAGCATATCACAAAGGTAGACGATGTCACACACAGTGTCTGTCATAAGCCAGTAGGGTGTGTTGCCTGGTGTTTGATACGGAAAGACGAGGCGCAGCGGGATGAGCCAGCAGTTCCAGTTGTAGGCAAGGACGACAAGAAGGAGCCACAGGAGATAGAGTCGGTCTAGAAAAAAAGCAACCGGAGTGATCCAAATGGCACAAAATGAACATGAAAAGAATTCTCTTGCTTAGTTCAGTAAAACTGGGGCACTACCCTCTTTCTGGAGAGAAGAAATTTGCTGTACTCTGTTAAACATTCAACACGACTCTGCCCCTAGAGTGGGGGGCATCTGGCTTTACAAGAGATGTTAAGTGATCTTGACAACTTTTTCGACAGTGGAGGGTTTCCTTCCAGTCTCTTAGAGAAGTGGCCATTCTGAGTCTGTCCCCATGGGTAACTGCACTGTTTGCATCAAGAAAGGGGACACTCAGGAAAAGTCAGAGGGACACTTCTCAGGGTTCCCTGCTGCAGCAGGTGGTTAAGCTGCAGGAAGGGGTATGGCGCTGAGGGAGGAGGGCAGAGAATCAGCCCATTAAGGCAGCCCATAGCCCTTCCCACGTGGCCTGCTTCAGCCATGGGAGGCCATAGGTGGGGCTTTGTTCAATTCAAATAATCAACAATGTGACACATGGAAGAAGACACACTTTATAATGATTTTTCTTCTTTTCTTTTCTTTTTTTTTGATGTCAGTGTACATATTGCTGAGCACTTTGGGGCCTTCTTTTCAAAGATAATTAGGGACGTGACAGACCCCAGACTTCCTTTTAAATATAGGCGGAACTATTTTAGCTCTTATTTTCACCAGAGAGGGGCAAATGACCTTTTGCAGATCATATAGATTCAATTCTGCTTTCTTGATAGATTCAGAATATGGGCTAGGGAATCAGAAGCTACCTATGACTTTGGAGCACAGGGGTTCGTGGTGATAGCCAGTCCTCCCACCGAGACAGTCCGCCCTTTGATGGTACCTGAGTAGGAATCTATACTGCTTGGAAGTTTAATTCGCTTTAGGTACTCTGTCAGAGGCATCTTCTGGAATTTGCAACACAACATGCTGTAGTATTGTTCTTTTGTTAGCTTAGTATTGCTTTCTTGTGTTGATGATACAGCTATGGGCTTTGCTTCACAGGAAAAAAAAACAAGACAAAATAATTTTAAGAGGTTAAATTAGCTTCATGAGCAAAAACTTTGGATTTCTTAAAGTGAGAACATTGAGAATCCTTCTCAGTACAGACAGATGAGGTAAAAACCTTCATGACATTCACATCAGCGACATTTATTTCACTTTATATACAAATTGAAATATGCAAAAATAGTTTTTATTTGTACATAAAACAAAACATCATGTTGTACACCTTAAATATATATGATAAAAATAAAACCTTAACATTTATGAAAATATACAAGTAATGAAAACACTGGAATTTGGAAATACATAACATGGTTAAAGCTCACTAATAACGTGTCAAATAGAAAATCTTAAATACAACCTTGGTTCTCACATATTTTGGAGCATAAATACAGTCAGGGTTTTGGATTTACCCAGATCAGAAACATTACAAATGTACATCATTCCACAGGGTTTAGTTTGGTGATTCTTTGTCCTCACACATATCCTTCAAGCTATCGGTAAATAAAGCTCAAAATATTCTTTTCAAATATCTTTATCAAACTATGTTGTGTATGTTTGATTGTGGCCTCTTCTACTTAAATAGAAACTGTCATACAACACATAGTTTATTTTGAAATCCTACCTTCCCTCATACAGAACTACAAGGAAATTTTCAACTCCATCCCATGTAATTATCAATTTGATTTGTATTTATCTGTTCCTAAACAACCCAACTTTCTTCTATTCTTTTTCTATAAGTGCATAGATATTTTACTTAGATGTAATCATAGCATATATCCCTTTTGTGGTCTACTTTATTGTACTTATTATTTTTTCATAAACATTTTTGTCATTACTAGGGAGGTTGTAATTGTTTTCTGCTCATGTGATTGGTTTGTGGATGTCCTTTGCTCTGTTGACACTTGGGTAATATTCTTGTATTTTTTTAATATTCACTTTGTATATTATGGGTATTCTTAATATATTGACAATGAAACTTACTACAGCAGATACTGGGCCAGGAAGTCACCTGCAGTGGGCTCCTCGTGTCTCCACCTGAGGGTTTTCTCGAGCAAGTTTACCTAAAGTGCTGAGGAGTTAGCAGCAGGCCACAGCACCAACCAACTTCCTCTTTTTCATTAGGATAATTCTTTGGTGTAATGCACACCATTTTTCAGCTGGGGGAAGCCCTAGTGGCCACAGCAATGATCCTCTTATTAATGCATCTTTACTGTCTTACTCCCTTCTACGTCTTTTCACTTTCACCTTTCTGGATCACTTTCAAAATAAACTATTTGTACCTAAATCACTGTCTCAGGGTCTGCTTTGGGTGGAGTCCAACCGGAAACATTTGCAAAATACATTTCCCCCCATAACTCCCTTCTTCCCAGTACTTGGAGGGAACGATGCTTACCAGCTTGTGGGCTGGCTTCAGGTGAGGATATGTCTCCCTCTACTAACTTTCTCTTGTAGACGAGTGTTCTTTGATGCATTTTTCTCACCAGGTTGTGTAGCTGGGCATCAGCATACTCATTTATCACAGGGGCTCCAAATGGCTTGCTTTTTGGGCTAAATAAGGAAAAAAAAAATAGTGACAGAGTTAGGAGATACATACAGGAGAAGAATTAAGTCTTTTCACCTTCCTTATATATTCAGTTACTAACTGTCCCTTTTTACAGTTGAATAGAACAATCCAAACATTAAGTTTAATGGAAATAGTGATGGTGGAATACAGATCTGTCATAGAAAAATTAGAATACACAATAACAAATGGTCATTCTTGACCTTATGGGTCTTGATGACTGTGATTCTGTCATTACACTGTGTCACTAGAAAACTATAGCTGGCAGGGCAGGCAGGCATCTAAGATGGACCCAAGGTTTCCTGCCCCTTGGTATGCATGCCTGGGATCAATGAAGACAGTGGGTTTTACTCCCAGAATTAGTTCATGTTATATATGGCTTAGTTGACTTTAAGATGGGGAGACTATACAGGGCCTGATCTAATTCACAGGGACCTTTCAAAAGCAGAGAGTTTCTCCAGCTGCTGACAGAGCAAGGAGTCAGAGATTTGAAGCATGAAGGTGATTTTTACCTGAGAGAAATCCTCCACTGCCGACTTTGAAGAAGAAGGAAGCCGCTTGATAAGAATTGCATGGGGCTTCTAAGAGGCTGAGTGTGATCCCTGGTTAGCTGATCACAAGAACACAGGGACCCTAGTCCTACAACCGCAGGGAAGTGAGTTTTGCCAATAACATGAATCAACTGGGAAGTAGGTTCTTCTCCGCAGCCTCCCAGTGAGAACCTGGTCTAGCTCGGCTGACATCTTGATTTCAGCCACGTGAGACTTTAAGCAGAGAACCCGGCCATGCCCACCCAGACTTTTGATGCGAGCTGATAAATGGATATTGTTTTAAGCCATTAAGTTTGTAGTAATTTGTTAGGCAGCAATAGAAAAATAATAGAGCTGATGTGTTTTAATGAACTTCCCTTATGCGAAAATATACAAATAGACTAGTACAGAGTACAGGGCATAAATTAGTATATTTCATCTAGATTTGAATTTCCTCACAGATTTCCCAAGGAGCTCTCACTCTCTCTCTTCCTTCTGATATCTGACATGGGATCTACATGGGCCTGTGCAGGCTGAACTGATTCTTATTTCTGCACATTTCTATCTGCCCTTTCCATCTCACTTCCAAACTGGAGCCCATGCATCCAAAATGAATTTCTTTGTATGCATATGTTCAATTCAAGGTGTTTGAAGGACCTTAGATGATAGGACCTAGTTTGTGATACACAGGAGACATTCAGAAATACAGTCTGGCAACGAGAACTTGGTGGTCATCAGTGTATATGAAATATATGAAGAGACATATGCGAATGACATCATCATAGACTGTGAAATCCTCAAGTCTGGGAACTATGTCTTTTCTTTATACTCCACAAGACCTAGCACAAGGTAGGATTTTAATAAATGCTTATTGAATAAATAAACCCACTACTTCTAACCTTTTGCTTGACCTTATTTGATGTGCCTCAGTATTTAAAATATATATATAAAAAACAAAGTTGAGGGTTGGTGGATCATTAACTATAAAGTCAGATAATCAAACTGTCAAAATGTCTAATACAAACCCCACCGAAAGAGGATATTTTTTCTTTTCCTGAATTATATATAAACCCTAACTGACCATACAACTGCCATTTAATCACACCAGTTTGTATTGTGCAAACCTACCTCGTGGTTAAAATGCTGAAAATCATATTACAAAGAATACCAGCATATCAAATACATATCTATATTTTAAATATGATGCATTTTTATTTTTGTGTTAGCTGGAGCATGAATATGTCAGCCTATTTTATCTTCTTTTCTTTTTTTCCAGCTATTTTTCTAAAATCCTTGCCTTTCTTTTCCTCTGCCTATACAGAAGCTATGAATCTATTTTTCTTTAGGTAATTTTGTGACTGAGCAGAAAAAGGCAAATATAGATGAAGAAACATATATCATGAGATAAAAAACAAAAGGGGATAGAAGAGGGACCCAGTAGCTACACTGTATATACTGTGTTTCCCCGAAAATAAGACCTACCCATAAAATAAGCCCTAGCAGGATTTCTAAGCATTTGCGCAAAATAAGCCCTACCCTGAAAATAAGACCTAGTGATGGGCGTGGCTACGCAGCAAATCTGCACAACCCATGCATTTCGTGGAGGAGCAGTAAAGAAGAGCAGCCCTTCTCATCTGCCCTATGAGAGTTCTATTGCTCCACATGAGAGATTGGGGCCAATGGTTCTAAAGGAAATAGAGTCACAAGAAATTCAGGATGGAATTTGGGGTTTGGAGAGTTATGATGATGTTCCAGAAGAAGAAGACTTAACTATATTTGAATAAATATAGATTGTTGTACTGTACTTAAAAAAATAACACATTTCCTCAAAATAAGCCCTACGGTGTCTTCTTGAGGAAAAATAAATATAAGACTCTGTCTTATTTTCGGGGAAATATGGTAACTATGCTTCATTTGAACTATATTTGATATGTCTCATTGACGTTACTAATTGTATGTTTTTGTTTTTTTTTGAGACAGAGTCTCGCTTTGTTGCCCAGGCTAGAGTGAGTGCCGTGGCATCAGCGTAGCTCACAGCAACCTCAATCTCCTAGGCTCAAGCAATCCTGCAGCCTCAGCCTCCCGAGTAGCTGGGACTACAGGCATGTGCCAACATGCCTGGCTAATTTTTTCTGTATATATTAGATGGCCAATTAATTACTTTCTATTTATAGTAGAGACGGGGTCTCGCTCTTGCTCAGGCTGGTTTGGAACTCCTGACCTCAAGCAATCGCCCGCCTCGGCCTCCCAGAGTGCTAGGATTATAGGCGTGAACCACCATGCCTGGCCTAATTGTATGTTTTTTAAAGAATTATTCTTTCATCATTATTCCATGATGAAAGATTTCATAAACAGTAAAAATATTTTACAAATTTTGATAAACATGGAAGGAAAGTCTTATTAGATAATCTTTTATTGAGAAGAATGAGACTTTTAAAATTTGTTTATGTACCTATATGGAAGAAGAAAGGATTTGTTATTGTTAGAATGAAATTTGTGACTTTTTTTTTTGGTAAAGGTACAAGGAAAGTTAACTAAAAAAATTTGATGGAAAAGAAGAGAATTATAATAGTATTCCTTATTTCTTTAAGTTCAATCCTAAGAATAAGCAAAAAAAAAAGAAAAAAAATCATATAATTGACCAGTGTGGTCATAGAAGTTTTTGCCCTCCAAGGCAATGTATCATAGTAGACTGGGATGGATGAAAAATAGGTGTTTTTTTTCCCCCACAAGGTGGGGAAAAAATGTCCACCGTGAAAAGGGAGATAGGAAAGAAATACTTGTGTTCTGCAGTTGTACTCAAGAAGTTTTAAGGAAGAGAATATATATAAGATGTGACTCTTGAAATTGGTTCTTTAAAAACTATCTGTGTTTGTTAGGACTCTTAGAAGGTTTTCATGTACACCCCAGGATAATATACTTTCTACTTTAAGATTACTACTTTAATAACCAATTTTGATGATCATGGTAAAATGGGTGGGTGGTGATGAGTTCACAGAGGAGGTGATATCCGAGTTAAATCATGAGAGATGAATGATACTTTGATAATATTAAGGAAGGTGTTCAAGGCAAGGGAAACAGTCTTAGGGTGTGTTAGTTGCTGCTTTATGGAATACGATAAATATATTTTAACATAGGAGCCCAAACGACCCTTAATTTGGCTTAAAAGGTCAGTTGATGCTGATGGGGAGTAGAGTTCTAAGGAGAAAAGGGACATGATTAGCTGTGCTTTATAAAAATCACTGAAAAAGAAAGAAGATAATTAGTTGTGGTAAGGAGGAAGTATAACTTGAGAGAGTAAAGTTAAAATATGTGAGTTAATGTAACAGTATGAAGTAACAGTATGAAATTCCAAGTTTGGTCATTGTAATACGTGGAATAGTATTTGCCAAAATTTATGTCCACCTGGAACCTCAGAATGTGATCTTATTTGAAAATACATTATTACTTTACAAATGTAATTATTTATTTTAAGATGAGGTCATACTGGTGTAGGGGGGCTCTTAATCCAATGACTGGAGTCTTTATAAGAAGGCCAGGTGAAGACACAGAGGGGACACAGGTAGAACGCCATCTGATAACAGAGTCAGAGATTGGAGCAATACATCTTCCAGCCAAGAAACTACAAGGATTGCTGGCAACCACCAGAAGCTAGGAAAGAGGCGTGGAACAGACTTTTCCTTGGCTCTTTTGGAAGGACCAACCTTGATTTCAGGCTTCTAGCATCTAGAACCATGAAGGAATAAATATCTGTTGTTCTAAGCCACCCAGTTTGTGGTGGTTTGATATGGCAGTCCTGGGAAACTAAATAGGGTTAGCAAAATGGATAATTGAAATACCACATGAGTAACTCAGATGGAAGCACAAGTTGTAGGAGAAATATAAATACATCCACGTTAGTATATGTTAAACTAGAGGTGTAAATTAAGAATCAAGCTCTCTTTACATTCAGTACAGCAGGCAGTTGAGAATTGGGGTCTAGAAATCAGAAGAGAGGATGGAGCTGGAGATACTGAACTAGGTAGGGATCATTTGTCTAGAGGAGATGGTAGGAGTTATGCAGGGGATGAGATTACTGTTAAGAGCCTGCAGGGAACAAGAAAAGATTGGGAGGTCACAACTTGGGAATTTGCTGACATTTAAGCAGTAGCATAAGAAAAGGAACTGAGAAATAGCAATTAGAGTGGTAGGTCTAAGAGAGAAAAATGTCACAAAAGTCAGTGAATGTAAGAGTTTGAAAAAGGAGGTCAGTGGCGTGTCATGCTGCACACAAAATAAGTAAGATGAAGGCGAGAAGAGGACTTTCATTTCAGCAAGTTAAAATTTTATTGGTAATATTTAAGAATACTGGTTACGAAAATGTGTAATGCCATCACATTTTGTCAGTTTCTCCCCATTTGTCTTAACAAGTATTTTGTAAAAAAAGGTATGTAGAATCTACATTTGTTCCTTAAATA